TTTACTTAAAAATGTTTGTTCTTATTTGAAGATAACAAAAAAATATCCATCATTCATCCTTCCAAGCATCCATTAATACGTCTGTTCAATCTAGTAAAGCATTGTCATATTAAACCTTTTGTATTGACCTTCTGCATTCCATGTTTAAATGTGCACACCACATCAGTTGTTCTGGGAGCCAGTGCATCCAACTTCAGTGTCATTTTTTTCACTCCTTAAATGTCTTTTCAATGCTAATCTGTGAGTTTCTACAAATGTAAAAGCTCTGCAGGCTTTTGTGGAATATGATGGAAACAGAGATAAGTAAAAGGACTGGAGACTCTCAAGGCCATATGGGCACTATATGTCAGTCTGTGTTATATTTTGTCTCTCAGCTACTGCATGCTCATACACTGACACTGATCCATACATACATAACACTGCTGACTTGCTTTTAAACACATGTTGTTTTAATGTAATTATATCTTTGCAAATAAATGTTTTTGTTGCAACCTCTTCTTGGGCTGTGACAAAGGCTGTGTCTCACAAGAAGTGTGTACCTCAATAAGGTGCACCAGCTGAAGCCTGAATGATTACCAGATGAAACAACAGTCTTGAAGGTTACTGGAATAAATCGGTAAACACAAGATGACTATTTTATACATATTAGTTTATCTGCACCTGCAGTTTGCCAGATGTAGAGCCCAGAACGTAGGGACATATTCACATCCTGGAGTTATTTCCATAGTGAATCTATACTTCTAGTTAGATCAGGATTAAACACCAAGATAACTGGAGAATCATTAGAAATGATGGAATAATATTTACTTTCTTCTGCCACTTCATTAGTTTGAACAGCAGGTGGCTCTGTTGCATGAAATAATCCTAAATACTGCACACATGAACTTGTCTGTCAGTCTATCCATCCATTTCCCTCTGCTTATCCAATTCAGTGCTGTGTGCACATATGTTCAGTGTATAGCAGTGTTCAGACATTGTGTAAATAGCCTACCGCTGCTTTCTGCTACACCTGTGTGACAAAAAAGGGCAAAACAGAGCAGCAAAAAACTGGATTGATCCATCCATCCTTTCTCTTCCACTTATCCAATCAGGGTTGTGGGGCTGGAGCCTATCCCAGCTGGAGGCAGGGTGCACCCTGGACAGGTCACCAGTTGCATCTTTGCCATCTTCCTCACATACAGTAGCGTCTTCTTGGCAGAGTAACGATTAATGTATCACAGTTTGTGGTGTGTGTGAGATAACCACACCTGGTGTTTCAGATGTGAGTGAGCGTCCTTCCTCTGCTTCCCACCCTTCATCTCTGCACACCTGGATTGATGACTTCACCTGTTTGTAATCCTGTGATTAGCTGCTCACTATTTAAGACGAGTGGTAGTGCAATAATGCCTTTGTTACACGTTTACCAGAAAATCAAACTGAAATTAATTTAAAGTGCTTTACTAGAGGTTAACCTTCCTTAGTTTAAAAAAAGAAGAATAGAGCTATTATAGAGCTGCTGCTCGATCTGTTTGGATCTCCTGAAGGATCCGGTGACTATTCCCTGTGGACACAGCTACTGCATGAACTGTATTAACTAGAGATGGACCGATCCGATATTACGTATAGGTATCGGTCCGATACTGACGTAAATTACTGGATCGGATATGTCCCTCTCTCTTGTTTGTTTATTGCTCACTTCGCGCCAGAAAGAGGAAACCAGCGGCTGAACAACAGCAGCACGTTTAACCTTGATAAGCTGTTGTTAGAATTTATTTAATATTACTTTCTACACCAGGATC